GAAGGCAAAATGGCGAGCCCCTTTTCCGAGGAGAAATGTGAAGAAAGGATGGATGAAAGGAAGGTTACCGAAACAATCCTGCCTCGAGAGAAACCTTTCGAATCTCGGGACCGAGGAACGGGCGGGGGAGAGGCAGAAAAAAAGACCTCGGGGGAGGAAGGAGGGGGAGGGGGAAGGGAGATCAAAGATTCCCCAGGTCTCCCTCCCTCCCTCCCTTCCCCACCCCCCGCGGCTGCGGATCGGGTTGGATTTTGTTCTCTCCTGCCCAGGGTTTCTGCTCCTAATTGCCACCCTCGAGCGTCTTCTCCGCTCCCTGTCTGTCCTCCCCGGCTTCTCCCCCGGCCGCTTCGGTGGCCTCGGAACAGCTGCCAGGCCGGGCGAGCACATTTTGGTTTCCCAGACATCCGGCCACCGGGTGCAAACCCATTCAAGGTCTCTCTCAATCTCTCTCTATCCCTCCCTCCCTCCCAAGATCGGGCTTTTAAATATTCAGCAACAGAAGCAAAAACAGAGATCTCAGGGATTTCTGGCTCAAGGTCAGCAACCACATAAAACAAACAAAAAATAACACCCGGGGAGGCGGCGGCACCGACACACACAGCAAATAACCGAAGGGAAACAAGCACACTCAGCCCCGTCCTATTGAAAAAAAATATATAAATCCTTATTTGCCAATAGTTCTTCCAACTGTACACACGTTTTTAAAATAACCAGATGCCTCGCTACAACATCTCCAATCCTGCTTCCCACCAAACTCCCTCTGCAGCTTCTGAAAAGTTAAACTCTTTCTCAACTTTCCGGAAGAGCGAAGGTCTCTTAAAATGAAAGCACTGTCCAAACCAACGGCGGATATTTTGCGGCCCGCTTTGCGGCTCCGGCCCAAGGCGCGCGCACTGCTTTGCAGGTTTTACAAACCACATTCAAACCCCGCCCCCTGGCCCGAAGTGTCTTAGAAAATTAGCTTGCTAAGATCCGCACTTTTGTTTAAAAAAAGATAAAAGTTTATTTATTTTTTCCCTTCGTTTTGCCATTTTCAGCCATCAAGGCGGATATTTTGCGGCCCGCTTTGCGGCTCCGGCCCAAGGCGCGCGCACTGCTTTGCAGGTTTTACAAACCACATTCAAACCCCGCCCCCTGGCCCGAAGTGTCTTAGAAAATTAGCTTGCTAAGATCCGCACTTTTGTTTAAAAAAAGATAAAAGTTTATTTATTTTTTCCCTTCGTTTTGCCATTTTCAGCCATCAAATCAACTATATATATATATATATAATTATATATAATTTTCGCTGCAATCTAAGCATTTATTTCACGGAATTAAAAAAAACATGGACGGGGAAAGAGGGGAAGAAATCTCTTTTTTGTTTTGTTTGTTCCTTGTTGTTCTTTTAACTAATGCATATAAGTGAGTTTTTCTTTCTTTTTCTGGACAACATATAATAAATAAGATATATCACTTCGCACACCAGCCTGTTCAAAATGTACATCATCCATCTATCCGTCGAGCTACCTGTTTCGAGTTGTCAGTAGAGAGATAGGTAGGTGTTTATCGACCACGGAGCACGCCACTTTTCAGTAAGCAAAAAGGGTCGTGAGAATTCAGTGCAAACTTCTCGGTTTCCCCCGCCGCCGCCTTTCTCCTTCTGAGATCTGCGTGGGTGGGGGGTGTCGGTGGGGGGAGTCTTTTCTCCCTTTGTGTCACTAAAGAGTCTTGGCTGGGTCTGGCTGGGTCTCTTTCTTTTCTTTCTCTCCCCCTCCTCCCTTTGAGTCCCGCGTCTCCTACACACACCCCTCCGCCTTCCTTTTCTGGCGGGGGGGGGGTGACTGCTGGACTCGAGGTTCCGTTTCGCGGCCTGGATCCAGAATCCGTGCTTTCCCGGAGCCCATCGCCTCTTTTGGCGACTGGAAACCCCGATTCCCTCGCCTCCCCCTTCCCCCCCCCGCTCACTTGCCCCCAAGTCCTTTCTCTGCCAATTGGCTGTTGCTGTTTTTTAAGTGAGGGGGAAGTGATGGGAGGAAAGAATCTGTTGGATAGACTTGCGGGGGGGGGAGAGGAGAGGGAGGCTCGGGGGGGCGCCTTCACCGCGGGTGCGGGGTCCCCGGGATGGGGTTCGACAAGGGGTTGAGGGCCGGCTGCCCGCCGGGTCCAAGGCCGTGGATCAGTACCCGGGGGACCAAAGGTCGCTGGAGCTGCGGGTGAGGCGCTGGGGGAGTCCGGTACATGCTACTGTACATGGCCGCGGCGGCCGCGGCCGCCGTGGTGCTGTCCATGCTGCCCAGGAGGCTCGGGTGATAGAAATAGGGCGACGGGAACATCCTCTGCAGGGCCGAATAATTCCCGGCTTCGGCCAGCAGCTCCAGCCCCACGGCCGTCTGCCGCTTCCACTTGGTCCTGCAAGAGATGGAAAGGAGAGGCCTAGGCTCGGGGCCCAAAGAATTGGGGAAGGGGGAGAGAAAGGTTGGGTGGAAGATGCCCGGGATGGGGGGCGGAATCTGGTGTAAACTCTGACCCCACTTCCACATGAAAGACCCTTCTAGCAAGAGCAGTATCGGAGGCTCCTCCAGGATCGACGACTTCTTCCCTTTATTTCTTCCCCTTTCCCACCACAGCAGCAACCCGCTAAAATCAGCACCGCGTTCTTTAAAACCCGGCAGACCTAAAGGGGCGGCAGAATTGCCAGCCACGAACCATCCCCTTGGAAAAGACAGTTTGGGGGCAGTATTTTGTGGGCCCCACAGAGCCCTCGAATCAACTGCTAAAGTGGTAAATCCACAGTTCTTTAAATCCCTAGACCTACTCTAGTTAAGATTGGCCACAGGATGCCATGGAATATAATCTGAAACAAGCCACCTACTCTAAGATTCTTCCTTCCTTCCTTCCTTCCTTCCTTCTTTCCTTCCTTCCTTCCTTCCTTCCTTCCTTCCTTCCTTCTATCCAAATGAAACCCCCCTTCTGTCCAAATGAAACCCCCACCATCGGTTGGGATGAGGGCAAGTAAGACTCCTTTGAAAATATTCATCAGGACATCTTTCAAAATACACATATAGTATAAGCTAAAATATTGCCCACTGTCTCATTAACACTTTTTTCTAGTATTCATCTGAGGAGGGGGGTTTTCTCTGTGTGTTTTTCCTCTCCTCTCTACCAAATTTCTGTGCTTTAGACCAAGGCTGGCATGATAAGAGGTCTTTGAAAATCTTTATATCATTCAATCCTACTAACCAGTAATTTTAAACCAGACAACTAAACTACCCCTACAGGTCTACTCTAGGGTCCATTGAGAGGGGGAGGAAAGAAAATGAGTGCCGCCTCCCTTGAAAATTCCCAAATGTACCTCCCTAATTTTTACCAGCAGCTCAACTCTAGAGAATTGCTTTGCCCCCACCTTGCCACTCAAAATTTACACAAAACTTTCTGGCTTTGTCAAGCTTCATCCAAAATACTACTTTTAAGCGGGAGAAGTCAACCGGGTTTTTAATATTGTATCCTCGTACAGCACATCAAAAGGAATTTGATTATAAAAGGTGAAGGCGCAAGATTTCAGAGTACTGTGGAATTCAATATCTTGCTGTTAAATCGAAGCAAAGATGTGGGTCATTTTGCTTCAACCTAGAAACACAGCAGTGATCCCTAGGTAGGAGGAAAGGAAGCCATTTGATCTAAAAAAAATTTAAAATGCACGGATGATATTTTCCAATCTATCCTCTATCATCCCCAGTACCCAGACTTTCATACATAATCTGAGTGCAGTGCAAGCCAGTCCTTCTACGCTGATGGTATAGGTTGCAGATATTTATATATTGGGCTATCTCTAATCTGGGTTTCCAAACTATAACCCTCTCTGAAAGGAGCCCCGGTAGGTTAGGAGAGCTGGTGGATCATTGACACACACGCACGCACGCAAAGGCGATCATGGCCCAGCAATTGCAGCCAAATTAATAAACATGGCGCTCCTGTTTAGATTGGCGATAAATGACACTAATGTTTTCCGACAGAATTAGGGTGGCTGCAACCGTATGTAATGAGACAGAAAATTATGGCAAAGATGACAACTGGAAGCAGTTTTTTCCAAGCCAGCCGTCCTTCTGCGAGAAACTAGGGGAGAGCTTCCCTTAACGCCTTTGTTGCTCTCCTGTGGTTGTTTACTCTTTTTTTTTCCTTTCAGTTGATTTAAAAAATATATACTGTACAGATTTTACAGCTTGACTTCTCCCTTAATTACTAGCGCTTTAGATGCAACCAGGCTAGACTGCACCCGTGAGAGGGGGGGGAGAGAGAATTGGAAAAAGGTAGCATCTTTCCAACTGCGCTTAAGACAGGCAGGTCCCAAAGTGAATTAGAAAGAGGGTGCAGGGGGAATAGGGGTGGGTGGGGAAATGTAGGGGGCCCTGGGGATGAGGATGAGGCCTCAGGGAATAGCAGCAGCGCATAGCTGCCGCCCGCCTTTGGAAGATCCCTTTCAATTTAGCAGCCTACCATCTCCTTGGGTTTATCTCGAAATCCTCTATACTACTGATTGATATGTTAACTCACTGTTGCACTCTGTTACTCTCCTGCTTTGTTTTGCTTGGAGGGGTGGGTGGGTGGAAGGAGGCTACACAGGGCTCTTCGGTGCCTCTGACCTATTCTGATTGAGATTTCATCCACCTTACACTTGTGGGAGGGTGTTGTTTAGAAAAGTACTGAAGGCACCTGGGAGGGAAAATGCATTCTGCCTTAAATGTGGGAAATTAGGGGTGGGAGCCAGATGCCAAGACCATTTGTGCCATGCTCACCATCTGTAGTCTGTGGAAAGGCCAAGGGTTAGAAGGATGCAGGTTCCACACCACCACAGATTTGAATGTGGAGGAGAAAATGTTTTAACAAAACCACCCTATGGATGTCTACTCACAAGGAAGTCCATTTTGAGCCCAATAAATGGAATAGACTTTGTCTGTGGTTGCCACCCTAGTCATATCTACTTCCTGGGAGTCGATCAATGGGATTTATTTTAAAGTAGCTAAGCATAGGATCATGCCCTTTGGATCCCCAGGGTGGGGCAGGCACTACACAGTTCCAGTGGGACCAGGATGTACTTCCACCAGAGGCAGGATCAGGCATGTGGCTGCCTTTTTTTTTTTTTTTTTTGGAATTCACTTTGTATCCGTGTGACTCCAGAGACAGCGGAAGGATTTGAGTGTGTTTGTTGCGGGGGGGGGGCTGTTTCCTGGCCCCATTGTGGTCTTTCCTCTCTCCCCCCCCCCAAGTGTTGCTGGGGAATGGGAGCAAGGAAGATCAAGGGGGTAAGAGGGATGTCAAGGGGAGACAGGGAGAAAAACCATGGCCGCCTTCCCATGTGCTGCGCATTTTCCCCCCTACCTCCGGTTTTGGTACCAGGTTTTGACCTGGGTATCGGTCAGGTTGAGCGCCGCCGCCAAGTCCATGCGGTCCTGGACGCTCAGGTATTTCTGCCGCTCGAAGCTCCTCTCCAGCTGGTTGAGCTGATGGTCGGAGAAGGCCGTCCGCGCTTTGCGAGGCTTCTTGGCTCTCACAGGGGGGCTGTCCCGGCTGCTGGAAATCTCACGGTCGCCTTCTTCCTTTGTCCCTAAGGAGGAAACACAAACCGCGGGGTGAGGCGGGCGAAGGAAAACGTGGAGGCAGGTAACAGGGGCGGCTGGTCCCTCTCAAGCCCCCAAGCTTGGGATTTTGGAATTTCTCCACGTGGGAATGGTCTGTTTCGGCTGGACTCGATCCGATCGCTCCCTAGGGCTCATTAGAAATGGTTGTTAGTAGTGTTATTTTCATTCCCTGCGTAGAGCAACACAGACCAGGGCCGCTCAGATGAGTTAGAGAAACGGGGCCCCGATGGTTTCAATGCAGACGGCGAATTGAACATACCCACCATAGTGAGGGCTTGGGACTTTTTTTTTAAAGGGAATTCCTGAGAGAGGTGAATTCTCGGGTGACACCGTTTCCAAATATCCTTCGTTTGTTCTCTCCCCTCTCTCTCTTCCTTCTTTGCTCCCTCCTGGCCCATACTTCTCTCCTTGGAAGCCCATTTGGCTAACTTAGAGTAGACCATCTAGACGTGACAGCGGCCATGCTTTCCCAGTACTGTACTGTGCTCACCCGGCTACAAAAACCAAGTTCTCCTTGGAGTGTGCGGGTCACCGCGAACAAGGTTTGCAGCGGGTTCTATTCGGCAGCTTCAAGGTTTAGTTTTTTGGTTTTTTTGCGCCGAAATGTTAGGAAATCGATACGTCAATCCATCTGTATTTATACTTGCCCCCCCCCGCCCCGCACGCACACACACTTCCCAATTCTCTCTCTCTCTCTCTCTCTCCTCCTTTCTCGGAGCTCCTTGATCTTCCCTGCAGGAAGAACAATAATCTCTCTAATTGACCCACTGGGGAGGTTGGTGCACCGGCTCACTAACAACAACAACCAAAAAAAAAATATTGCTAGACGGAGCCGTACATCTGGTTTTGGATACTCTTATGCTAAGGCTAAAACGGCAAAATGAATAGGAGACTGACGCGCCCTTCTATTAGCTACTGCAAAATATCTGAGGGCTATAAAATTAGCAAAATGTGTCCGCTCTTTCCTCCATGTTTCAAAGGCGTCTTCCAGTTAAGTGGGATTCCCTTGGCATTAGGAGGATTTTTTAAAAAAACCGATCCTTAGTGTGGTAGGCGCACATCCCTGATATGTATGTTTACATTTAAGAATGTGTATATTTACTACACAGTCCTAAAGAGACCCCTGAAACCGGCAGAAAAATCAGCTAGTGCAAAACAGCTAGGCTTTTTTTTAAAAAAAGGAAGGAAAAGAAAAAAAATAATCCCAGTCGTATCAGCCAGTTTTAAAAACTTTTACAAAAATGTATTTTCTTTTAGATCCTCTCCAAACTATCTTACTCACTCAGAATGCTAAGCTTCTGTGGACTAAATAGCAAAATTATTATATACATTTGGCTTTTTATAAAAACAGACATTGGTATTTGAAGATAGCTGGTGAACCAACAGACATTTGGGTTTTATTGATGATAACTGCTCTTTCAAATTGAATTTTGTTCAGCTGCTACCAACTTTACTCTTAAACGAACCCATGCATCGCATCGCCTCCTTTGGGAGAAAATAAATATTTTTTTTCTAAATTTATGGCGGTGGGTTCTAAAAAAATTTTTTTTTAAGGCTAAAGACGCTGAATGGAAATAAGCAATCTGAAGATGCCTTAGGTTTTTCTAGTGGGCTTACTTTATTTAATTTTTTCCTCAAGTTTCTAAAAACCTCTTGATCGTGAAACTTTAGCCGTATTTTATTAACGCTCAAATTCGGCATCAACGTTTGGCGAGGAATTTAATACAACATGGAACGTTGGCAGAAGGCTTGGGAGGACATGGAACGTTAGAGAGGACCAAGGAACCAAACAGAACGATCGAAACGTAAACAATGGAACGTCGCGAACGTTCGAAGCACCGCGTGGAAAGGACGCCCTGCCCCACTCACCGTGGCATTTCAGCTCGTTCTGGGCATCGTCGCGTTTATCTAGTTTGGTTTTGCTGTCGTCTTGCTCGAGTTTTGGCCTGAAGCTTTCGTTCGCCGCGTTGGTCTCTTGTTTCGGGGTGTGATGGGGCGAGGAGACGCTGGTGGTGTAAGGTGCACACGCCGCCAGAGGTTTGCTGTCTCCCAAAATGTCTTTAATTAGAAAAGAAGAAGTGGAAGTCCTGGGGGCAGAGCTGCCCGAACCTAATTGGTGCGGTTGCTGTTGTTGTGGCTGTTGCGGCGATTGCTGCAAACTTTGTTGCTGCTGCTGCTGCGGATGTTGGCCGTGATGAAGATGATGATGCTGCGAAGGGAGAGAGTCTTGCGCCAAATGCTGGTCCGGATGCTCCGCCGTGACCGAGATGGGCGAAGAGGGAGCTGTCCCTACCGTGTCTATTTCCGAGCAAGGGGACGGGGTGGCCTGGCTGAGAAAATCCGCCGCCCTGGCCTCGCTGTGAGCCGCCCGAAAGTCTCCGTTCATCATGCCCGGGCTGCCGGACCTGGGATTAGACAAAATCGTGTCTATTCCAAAACTGGAGCCGCTGCTAGATCCTTCCATGCTGGCCGTTCAAAGAGGCGCGTTCATGCCCTCGCGCCGAGTCCTCCCAAGACGATCTTTGGCAGGAGACAGGGCTTGGCGGGGCGGGAAGGAAAAGGGGAGCGGCTCTCACTCCGATATCAAAACAAACCACTCAAACCGAATCGGTTCGGGAGAGGGGACGGGGAACCCTCACAGAGGCAAGAAAGGTCTCGGGTCGAAATTGAAATGGATACGGGGGAAGGATGGGGACAAGGAAGCACACCGGGACGAGATGGGGACAGCAGGGAAGACGCACACCAAAAGAAAACGAGAGATGCCAATTGTCCCAAAGAAAGAAAAACGAAGGAAGGAAGGAACCGAATCGGTTCGGGAGAGGGGACGGGGAACCCTCACAGAGGCAAGAAAGGTCTCGGGTCGAAATTGAAATGGATACGGGGGAAGGATGGGGACAAGGAAGCACACCGGGACGAGATGGGGACAGCAGGGAAGACGCACACCAAAAGAAAACGAGAGATGCCAATTGTCCCAAAGAAAGAAAAACGAAGGAAGGAAGGAAGGAAGGAAGGAAGGAAGGAAGGAAGGAAGGAAGGAAACAGGGAAAATGCGCAAGAAATCTGAAGAGAGATAGGCACCCTCTGGAGGTGTTGTTCTTCCCGTCACGAACTCCCGGAGCCCCGCACTCCCCGCACAGCCTCTCTCTCTCTCTTTCTCTCTCTCAGCCCTGGCACACGTGCTTGGCGTATTGTTCGGGCGGCGCTAAGGGAGAGCGGTCACGATCCACTGCTGAGGACCCGACCGCATCTCCTAGAGCGGCGGAAAGGTACCGAAAGCAGGATGCTGGAGGCGGAGGCGGCTGGTGGCGGCGACCGCGGTCCTGAGGATGCTCAGCTCGCCCAGGCACCCAGCCGAACCGCTCGGCTCCGTCTGCCGGGTGCGGGCCGGATCTCCCGGCCTGAGCAAGCCTCTTTCCCTGGCTGGCTCTCTCGCCCGTGTCCAGGAGTTATTGAACTTTCTTGGAAAGTTGAGGCGTGGTAGTGCAGGCGGAGGAGGAGGAGGAGGAGGAGGAGACGCCAAGCTTCGGCCACTGCCTGCCTCTTCCTTCCGCCTGCTGGTTCCTCTCGGGCTCCTCCGACTCCTCCCGTGACGTCACCGCCATCCCCAGCCCGCCGCCGCCGCCGCCGCCGCCGCGCTTCTTTTCACTTTATTATAAACCCTCTTTCAGGGCGAGAGGGGGGCTCCTCCTTTATTTATTTATTTCTTGGGTCCGGAGGAGATGAAGGAGACCCCCGATTGGTGGCGGCCACGGCCGAACCTGACGCTCAGCGGCTGGCAGCCAATGGGAGCCGAGGACGGCTGGAGAAGGTGCGGAGAGGAGGGAGCGCGCGCGGCGGGCCAGGGAGGGGCGCGCGACGGCGGGAGGTGGAGGGCGGGGAGAGGGGGCCCTCGCCAGTTTCCGAAGTGGGGCTGTTCTTTTTGAGCCCCTGCAGGATCGCACCCTCGCTCTGTCCCGTCAGCCTTTCCTTTGGTGTCGCGGAGTCGAAAGACTGGGGATCACCCCCTGGCACAACCAGGGACACTTCTTTAGAATAGAGTAATTAGTTTAAAGGACAGAGAGAGATAGAGACACAGAGAAAGCGTAATTTAAGAAGTGAGAGAGAGCAGTTACAAATATGACTATCATTACCATGATGATTATTGGCCAGCTGCGTGGAGGTCAAACCTCCCGCAGGCCCCAGGTATTTAAATCAAGAGCAGGCGTTTAAAAGCGAATCAAGTATCCACACAGGGAATCCGCCTATGTGAGAAGAGCACTAGGTTCCCATCCACTTTCTAGGGATTAAATACTGTAGTTCTTCCTCGTTCCCCATTTTGCTTGCCCGGGTCTACCCCGCCTGTTCTTGGTCTGGGGAACAGGTGAGTTTTTTCGCAACATTCCTGGAGAGGAGAAATCGGAGTGAGACCGATCTGGCTGGCCTTACTGACTAGGAAACAGGGAGCGGTGGGCGGGGGAGGGGGGAAATATGGGTTCGTGAGGGGGG